TGGAAGTGGGGGTCCCAGACAGAGGTGGAGGTCCCGGATGGAAGTTGGAGTCCCGAATGGAGGCTCAAGAGCTGCTTCCCAGCAGGACACAGCGCCCATTTTTGGTGTGGGGCAGGGAGGGGGGCCTGGGGCTGGTGAGCTCCAGGAAAGGCTGGATCCCAGAGCTTGGGGACAGGGGGAAACGGGAAAGGCCCCTGGTGGCACTCACTTGGCGGTGTCCGCGCGGGGGCTGGCGGCAGTGGAGCCCCTGTGCCCCTGTCCCCAGTGCGGTTCGGCAGCGGGCAGGATCCAGCCCCCCCCCGAAAGCCTGGCCCCCCCTGGGGCTGTGTCACCTGCCCGGTTGGGCAGCAGCTGCCCGCGATGGGAACAGGCATCGCCGCCTGGTCCTGAGCTTAAAAATAACCCGACCCCGGTCCCCGCAGTGGGCACAGAGCTGGGGCTGCCATGCCCTGGGCACCGGTGCGTCCAACCGCCCGGCTGTGCTGAGCTCCCCAAGGGCTCCGGCTGCGCTCGGAGGAGCTCTGCCTTGCTCTTATTAAACCCCAAACCTTCCCAGAGATCAGGATTCGGCCAGGCGTTTCCTGAGCGGTGGGACCGGCCGGAGCCAGCTGCCCAAGGGTAAACCCCGACGCCACGGGGGCATCGTGTGGGCGACGGAGGGGTTGGCCCCCGGCGCCGCGGCCCCGCTCCCTGCCGCTGCGGTGCCAGCCGTGGGGAGAGCACGCCCGGCGTGTCCGCGCTGGCAGATCCCCAGGACAAGCTCTTACCAAACCGGGAGCAGCGAGGGACATGCCAGGAGGTTTACACACATCTTGGAACAGGTTTCAACTGCTGCGACTCCCAGTGCTCCACTTTGACCCAGCTAAACCAGTTGCTCCAGTTGCTGGTGCCGGGGCTGGGCCGATCTTGTCTCTCCGTCCCATCACTGGAGCATGGAAGAGGCTTTTCCATCCCTGGGGTTTGGAGCAGGGGGAGCTGCCGGGCGCCTGCCGTGCCGGGGCCGGGGGCATCGAGATGGCACTGGGCACCCAGTTTTGCAGCCTCAAATAACCACGCTCCCCTCCAACGAGCCCTGATAGGTGCGGTGGGCTGGCGTGGACCGCTGCCAGGCTGGCACCCGTGGTGGCCACAGTGACCGTTCCTGGCTGGGGTCTTAGTTGGGGACAACACCAGGACCAGGACACGGGGGCGGGCGCCAACCCCCTGGAATGCACCTGCACCCTGACTCCGAGCTCTCGCCCCAGCACATGGGGTCCTGCGATGCTCTGCCCCCTCACAGTAGCGTCGGGGTCCCCAAGGCCGGGTCACCGCTCCCTGTCTGTGGGGACGGCCCTGAACAGGGATCCTGGGCTTGACCGGGAGGTGCTGTTTCTCCTGCCGCCTGTGATTTGGCCTCATCCTGTCGCGGGGCTGCTGCAGCGCCTGCTGCCTCCTCGCCCCGTCCTGGCACCCCGAATTCCAGGGACAGCGAGTCACGGGCCCGCCTGGCTCTCAGGGCCGGTGATTCACCCCGAACCTGTCCCTGTCCCTGCCGAGCCTGACTCATCTCAGAGGTTTCCCAAGAGACCATCTTGGTCCCCTGACGTGGGGCTCGGCGGAAGTCCTGTCCCTGTCCCCCCTGTCACCCCGGGGAAGGGGACGGGCCGGATGGGGCTGCAGGAAGCCAATTCCTCCCCCGTGAGTTGGTGTGACGGGTGTGGGGCGGGGACCGGGCTGCCGGGTGCCGGCCAGAGCCTCCCCATCCCCGTGGAGAGGTGGAGTGAGTGCGTCAGGGCTCAGCAGAAACTGGGCTGGTGACGGTAGCATTGCGCCAGAGACCTCCCTGCTCTGGGTCCCCCAAAACACCGCTGGTGGGGGTTTTCCATGCTGTGCCGGACTCCCTGGGACCCCACTCCCACATGCCGTCCCGGGGGGGGCTGCTTGCCCCGGTCTCGCTCCCCGTCATGTTTGGTGTCACGCTGCTGTGGGGACGCCAGGACACAACCCCTGTGGTGCGCAGGGATGGGGTGACTGGCAATCAGGGACATCCCTGCCGTGGTCCGAGCAGAGATGGTCCCCAATGTCAGCCCCATCCCGGGCCGCCGTCCTTGGTGTCCCCACTGCCTCTCCCCGGGGCCGTGCTGTGGGCACCATGCGGGGTTTGTTTGGGGCCCAGGCGCCGTGCCGGGGCATGGGATGCGGCTTGGGGGCCCTGTGGGAACGGCAGTGCCGCGGCACGGAGCTGCTCAGTCTCCCAGGTGGAAACCTGCCAGGGCTGCCATGTTATAAATACAAGATGATTAAAGGGGAACGCTCGGGCAGTTCCAACCCCCTAATTAATTTGGATTAATTAATTTTCACAAAGCCCACTATTAATAGGGATTATGTCAGCGGGCGGCTGAGTCACAACTCTCACTCGGTGCGGGTCGAGCCCGGCCCTGGGTCCGCAGTGCTGCTTGGATCACAGGCTGGGATGAGCCACCGTGTTGGGGCACGGTGGGACATGAGCGGGGCGCTGGGGGCCACGTCCTCATCCCCAGCGCAACCCCAGCCCTGCCCCTGCAGTGGGGTGAGACCTGGGCAACCCCAGCCCTGCATGCACGTGGGGGTGAGACCTGCCCCGCACCCCTGGAAAGGTCTGGGTGATGCTCGAGCCCCGTGGGATGCTCCAGCCCAGTGGGTGCCGGAGCAAACCCGCTCTGTCCTCCCGCATCCCTCCCCTCTGCCCCGTGGTCCCATCCTGCTCCCCACCGGAGCATCCCCACGGCAGCAGAGCCCAGGCGGTGCCGCGGAAGCCGGGCCAGGTTCACACCAGCGGGGCCGAGCGCTGAATTTGGTCTGCTGCCCGCACGGGGAGGGAGAAGAGGAGGATGTCTCCGCGCCCGGGCGGTGTCTGTGCGTCTGTCCGGTTGCAACAGGAAACCCAACACCGTAGCACGGGGAACAAAGTGCTGCGCTCTCCCGTCCCGCATTGCAGGCTATAAAACCTCCCCGGGGGGGCCACAACCTACCTGCAGCTCCCTGCCTGCAGGCGAGGGGGGTAAGTAGGGAATTGCTGCCTTCAGCACCGGCCCCACCCCGGCCACCGTGTCTCCAGTGCTCGCAGGACGAGAGCGGCGCTGGAGACCCCTGCTGTACCCCCATCCCTTTCCTGATGTCCCCCCATCCCGGCTGCCTCTGTGGCGTTTTTGCCAGGCTGCGCCGGATGGCAGCGGCGTCACCGAAGGGCTCTGCTCCCCCTCCCCGCGCCAGCCGGGGAGGGCCTGGCCAAAGCGCTCGGTCCCTAGGGAGCAGCGGAGCGGAGGGACAGCCCCCAGCCCCGGGACCTTGCTCAGCCCTGCAGAGCTGAGCTGAGCCCTTGCAGACTCGCTGCACCCTGGGTTAGGGAAGGGGAGAGGTTCCCCTTCTTCCAACGCATGCCGGGCATCGCCTCCTCAGGACACCCCTCTGCCTCCGATCCCCTCTCGGCTCCTCTTCCTGCTGCCCGGGGCCACTGCTGTGCCCCGGCACCATGGCCACGGGCGAGCTGACCGAGCTGGAGACGGCCATCGAGAAAATCGTCACTGTCTTCTTCACCTACGCGGGGAAGGAGGGCAAGAAGGGCACGCTGACGGCCGGCGAGTTCAAGGAGCTGGTCCAGCTCCAGCTGCCCAACCTGATGAAGGTGAGGCGAGGGGCAGCACGTGTGGGGCGGCTGGGGGGGGCGGCTGGATCCCTGCGGGTCCCCCCAAGCTGGGGGGCTGCTCCCAGTACCCTGGGATTTGCAAGCAAGAGCGAGCAGCAGCCCCTGCTCCCCCCCCATCCCCATCCCGCTTGCTGGGGACCGGGATGTGGCCGAGCCTCCCCTGTCCTCCCCGCAGGACGTCCCCTCCCTGGAGGAGAAGATGAGTGAGCTGGATGTGAACAACGACGAGGAGCTGAAATTCGGCGAGTACTGGCGGCTGATCGGGGAGCTGGCGAAGGCCATGCGGCGGGAGAAAGCGGGGAAGAAGTAGTGACGGGGCTGGTGGGGAGACTTGGCTGACGCAGAGCTAATAAAAGAGGTTTCCCTGAGCCTGAGCGTTGCTGCTGTTCTTAGCCGGGGGCTCCCGATTTGGACAGCCCATCTCCTCCCCTGCCTGCATCTGCCCATGGCCACGCTGTGCCCGGGGACCAGCCCAGCACCGCGAGTGGTGGGTCGGGGCTCACTCTGCATTGGGGTGGCTGCTGTGGGGAACCTGGGATGGATGGGGCCATTCCCAAATTACCCTTGCGCTGGTCTGGCTTTGCGGGGTGTCACCCTGCGCCCCACAAACGCCTTCCTGCGGGGCTGTGGGGTTGCTTAGGGCAACCCCGATGGGTGGCAGAGATGTGGCTGGGACCAGGGTGGGGCTCGGGAGCATCTCCAGCAGCGATGCCGCCGTGGCTGCGGTAGCCACCACCTCCAGGTCATCAATGCCCATCCTCTCTGGCATCTTGGGTGGCACGGGGGGGGGATGCGTCCACCGGCCCAGCTTGTCCCTGGCTCAGCACCCTTAACCGAGCTCCCATTCCCGGCATTCAGCTCCCAAATCCCGGCGCTGCTGGGAAATGGCAAAATCCCTTCCATGGGGTGACCTGTCCCCGAGCCGGCCAGGGCCCGGTGCCTGGGTGGCTGTTCCCACGCGGTGCTGCGCGGCTGTGCCGTGCCGGGCTGGATGGGGAGCCATCAGTGTGGCCTGGAAGGAGGCGTTTCCCAGCCCCACGCTGGCCCTGGGCCAGGCTCCGAAATGAGACGCCTTGCACCACACCGCAGCTGGCGGCGCACAGGGAGCTCCCACTCACAGCTCCCCGTGGTATAAAACCCCGGCACGCCGCAGCCCGCGCAGACCCAGGAGAGCCCGTGGAGCAGGTAAGTGGCCCATCCGCCACCGCGGGATGGGGGTCCGTGCCCAGGGGTCCCATCACCCCTCTGCACCCCCCTGCTCAGCTCTGCCACGACTTGCCGCTGGGGCAGGGATGCTGCTGCCGCTGGGACGTGTCCTGGCAGCTCACCGCATCCCGGGGCTCTTTCCTCGCCCTGCGCTCAGTCCCAGAGCTGAAGGAGGAGGAACTCCCCGCAAGCCGAGAGCTGAGCCTGGCTTTCTTCCCCTGCCAGCTCCCCAAGACCCCGTCAGAGAGGACAGCCCCACCACTGCTGCCACCGAGGACCTACAGACCCCGCGAGGAGCAGCATGGGCCAGTGCAACTGCCGCAAGAAGCGCAAGGTCTATGAGCGACGCTGCGGCACCGGGAGGGCCGGGGCCCCCGGCGGGGTGCGGGGCGCAGGGGTGACCCCGCACGGCCCCATCCCTTGGAGCACAGCCCTGGGCATGGGGTGACTCAAAGCAGCGTGGCCGGGCCAGCCGCATCCTGGAGCCAGACTCCAGCGGAGGAGACGGGGGGCTGTTTCGGGGTTCGGCGATGCTGCCCCGGCACTGGGCAGGGGGACCTGGTGCTGCAGACTTGGAGCCGCTTGAAAGCTCGGGGAACCAGGCAGCTTTCTCCAGCTCCCGTGGACTCACCTTTGGGAGCTGCACTCACTCCTTGCAACTTCTCCAAGGATGCCCAACGGCAGAAAGTCTCCTGTTTTCCTCGGCTTTCAAACGGGAGGTACCCACCCCGCACCCCTTTGCACCTGTGGAGGATTTGGCCCCGGCCGGCTGAGCCGGCACGCCGGGCTGAGGCTCTGAAGATTGCTGGGTTCTTCCCAATGGGCATCGCCTGATGTGGTTTAATAGTGTTTCAAGGGGAAACCGCAGATGCCGAATGAATCACCATCGTTTCCCTTCAAACGCAGCTTTGGCTAATTAGCATGAGTGGCCGGGGAGCCCGGTGCATGGGTTGGGCCAGGCTCTGCCCCCCACCCCGCCAGGGAAGGGGTCTGCAGCCCCGACAGGGAGGGACAGGGGCTCCTGCCGCCGCCAAGCCCCATCCCGGCGGGTGCCGAGTCGTCCTGGGCACTGACTCATGCCGCCATCCGCCGCTTGTGCAAAGGAGAGGAAGAACCAGTCCGGACGGCCGCGGCAGCCCCCGTGCACCGTGGGTGTAGCGCCCGGAGACGCCGGGGTGGCTGAGCCTCGCTGGCCCCGGGCAGGGAGAAGTCCGGGCAAGCAGAGATGGGGGGGTGACATGCCTGTGGGGAGGGGTGTCACGTCGAGGTGGAGGGGGGGTATGGCAGCTGTAGGGAGGTATTGCAGCAGTGCAGAGCCTGTATGGAGGGATGCAACATCTGTACGGTGGGGTCTCACATCTGTACGGTGGGGTCTCACGTCTGTATGGAGTGCTCTCACATCTGTATGGAGTGGTCTTGCATCTCTATGGGGGTCTCACATCTGTACAGTGGGGCCTTATATCTGTAGAGGGGGTCTCACATCTGTACGGAGGGGTATCATGTTGATAAGGAGGTTTATCACATCATTGCGGAGGAGTTGAACGTCTGCAGAGAGCACTGGCACATCTGCTCTGGGGGGGGGTGTCCCATCTACCTGGGGGCTTGTCCTGTCCGTCTGGGGGATGTCCCATCCATCCGGGGAGGTGTCCCACTGGTGCTCACCCTCTCTCCCCCCGCGCAGGACTGCCAGGATCTCACCGATGTGGAGCGGGCCATTGAGACCGTCATCAACCAGTTCCACTGCTACGCGGTGAAGGGGCAGAAGGAGTACCTGACACCCAACGAGATGCAGGACCTGGTGGTGCAGAAGCTGCCCCACCTGGGGAAGGTGAGGGCAGAGCCCGGGGGTGGGCAGGGGGAGCTGGGGTGGGCACGGACTGCCTGCGGGACCCCGCAGCCCCATCACCCCGATGCTTTTTCTGTCCCCGCTGCAGTGCGTTGGACCGCTGGACGAGAAGATCGAATGCATGGGAGACCCTGACGAGGCCAAGCTGGAGTTTGGAGAGTACTGGGACATGATGGGGGACGCGGCCAAGGGCTGCCGGAGGAAGTAGAGGGCGGCGGGGGACGGGAAGGCGCCCGAGGCCTCAGGCTCTGCACCAAGAAGCGCGAGAGGCTGCTGGTCCCGGTGGGATGCGCCTGGGAAAACGCAGCGTCGCTCCTACCAGGGCTTGTCTCCTCCCCGCGTCCCCAGCCGGGGCGGAGGGATCCCCCTCCCCGGCTCCATCCCTGCCCTCTCTCGTCTCTCCTTCCTGTCAGGAAACTTCCCTTGCCATCCCCAGCTCTGGCCCGTGCTGCGGCGGGAGGGAGGTGGTAAGGGGGTTCCTGGCCCTGGCTCTGGAGCCGCCTTTCTCTGTCCTTTGCTCTAGAGCCTTTACCCCCAGGGTTGTCCCACCTCCAGCCCCGAAAACCCTCCAGTTGCAGGTCCCCCAGCCCTGCAGCATCGCAGTGAGGGGGACTCGGCTCCTCTCCCCCAGAAGCCCTTGGATGTGCGGGCTCGTTCCCCTGGCCCCATGCTCTGCCGCCCGATGGGAGCCCCTTTGCCACCGCTCTGCCTCGTGCTTCGAGCACCTTCGGGGGCATCCTGGGCTCCGGGCTGGCCCCGACGTTGCCGTTCGTGGCCTGGGCATATTCTCTGCTCTTCCCCCGGTGCAGGGACCGTGGTGCCCTGTGCCTGTCCAGGTTTTGGGGTGCTATGCCAGGGCGCGCCGCCTGTGCGGTGCTCCCCCGCCTGCCCCTCTCCAGGGATGCTGGCCCCGGCTGGCGGCTGGGCTCGGGGCTGGGATGGTGGCGGGTTGTTATCAGCTTGCGTCACTTGCAACCATTTTTGTATAAATTAATAAAGGAAAACACTGGAGAAAAACCAGCCAGGATGGGGGTGACCTCATTTGTCCTTCGTGGGAGAGGGAAAGTGGGGAGCAGGGAGGGATGGGGCTGCAGCGATCACGGCTCTGAGCATCACTCGCCGCTGCGTTGCACAGCCCCGCTGGCCCCAATGCAGAGCATGAGGGTGCAAGGGGTGCTGCGGGCACGCATGGGACGCCGCAAGTGTGCATGGTGCTGTGGGTGTGCACGGGGCTGCACGTATGCGTGGGATGCTGCGGTGCGCAGGGTGCTGCGGGTGTACGTGAGCACTGTGGGTGTGCGCGGCGCTGTGATGGCCATGGATGCTGTGGGTGTATGTGAGCATTGCGGGTGTGCACAGTGCTCTGGGTGTGCATGGTGCTGAGGGTGTGCGTGTGCACGTGTCCAGTTCCCGGGGTGGCTTATGCCCAGCGGTCCCCGTCGCAGGGACCCCACGAGCAGGGCTGTGTCTCCAGACCAGGCACACCAAGGGCTTTGGGCACGTGGCTCCACACTGGGCTGGAGGGAGCTCAGAGGAGACCCCGAAATCCTGGGCTCAGAAAGACCCGGGAGCTGCGAGGCCATCAGCAAGATCCCACCTTTGCCGGGAGAGCGTGGGATTTCTGTGTAATTACAGCAAATTAGAAAACAGTAAATGCCACAAAGTGATGGCTTGCTGGGACGGAGCAATTAGCTCAGGCACCGAGCGCACGGAGGGTGAAGAAATGGGCTTGAGAGGGTGCAGGGCACCCCCTGAGCCTGGTTATCCCAACTTTCCTCTGCCATCCGGGCCATTCCCGCTGAGCTCCGTGTCCCGGAGGAGCCTGTGGGCAGCCCCAGAACCACAATGGGGATGGGGACCCCAAAAAGGGAGAGGGTGCGGGCACCTCATCGGCACCTGCATCACCTTGCGAGGCTCTGTGCTGTGGGGGGGGGAAAAAAAAAGATGAACCAAACCAAACCAAACCCAACCCCAGAGAAATGTGACTGAAACCTGAGGCCGGGCCAGGGTGGCAAGGTCCTCCTGGGCCGGCAGCTGGTGCGGCAGCACCAACACCACGGCTCGGCCACAGGCCACCCTCTGTCTCCTCTCACCTTGGGGTGGATTTCACAACGAGAATGACTATTTATTGTTCCTGCCTTGGAAATAAATACATGGAAATTAAGCAGAAAGGTGTGGCGTGCATTTAATTAGAGACAGGAAATGTGTCAAATGGTTGGGGTGATGGGGGGGAAAAGGGGAGCCAGGGCTCCTGGATCCTCTTCCCAGCACCACAGGCTGGGAATGTGCCGTGGGAGTGGGGACTCCTGGGTCCTATTTCTGGTTTGGTGACCAGCTCCCCAGCGTGACGGTGCGCTGTCAGGAGGACGCTCACTCTTGCGGCGTGAGCCATCCTCGATAAGTATCTGGAAAGTCCTTGGAGGTGGGAGGAACAGCTCAGCCTGTGCCGGGGCGGTCGGTACCCCTCGGTGAGTCAGTGCAGACCACGTGGGCACGGCACCGTGCTGGTGGAAACGCTGAGAAACGCATTCGTCCGTGCCGGGGTGGCCACTGTGTGCAGGAGTGGTGGCTCCAGGGTACCCATCACGGCGGTCACTGAAGACCCCCAAAGCTGGGGCTCAGTGTCCCCCGTCTGTAAAGGGTCCCATGGGGCAGAGCTTGTCCATGAAAAGCCAAACTGTTCCCGACCCTTCAGACCCGGAGCTGGTGGGGACCAGGGGAGAGGCCAACCTCATCGCGGTGATCAAAATGGCTGGGAACTGTCTTGTGATGGGTTTGGATGGTACGTGGCTGCTCTGAGCACATGCACACACCCTGGATGCCTTGTAAAAATAGGGCCTGGATATGGTTGTGACATCTGCCAGGCACAGGAGAGTAATGAAAGCCCATGATTCAGAGGTGAGCTGTTTGCCTGCAGGGTTGGGGAGGGATTCCCACCCTCCTGGGATGTTGCATCAACGACACTGGAGCATCTTGGCCGAGAATGGGTTTGTTTCCTCCCAACCGAGATTAGCAAGAAGCCAGCAGAGAGCCGGGGTGACACACGCTGTTTTTTTCTGGGACAGGAGTCCCAAAGGTCCTCTGAGCAGGTGGCTGCTGCCTGTAATAGATCACCTCCTACTTTGCATCCTTAAATATGCAGATCCCAATAACGCCCGTATCTAATCTTGGCATCAAATCACTGCACCATTGCTCTCGTAGACATACAGGGGTACAATTTGCTGGGACAATTAATTATGGATGTGACTTTACAAGCACAGCTACCAGCTGAGAAGAGCTTTGTCTGTCCCAGGTGGATCTAGAGATGGCTGAGAGCCGGATACGGCCCTGCTCGGAGCTGGTGCTTGCGATTCCAGGGCCCCAGAGACCTGCGCCAGCCCCTTTCACCCTTGAGAACGAGTGGTTTTGGTTCAAATAAACAATGCCCCCCACCTCGCCGAGCAGCTCCTGTGCCGCACCGGACCCGACTGGCCGGCCTCACCGGTGGTGGATGCACGGGGCGGTTTGGAGCAGGGTGGGCAGCAAGGATGTGCCGCGGGATGGAGGAGCCGGCCTTTCGGCTGGTGCGTGGCTGGATGGTGGCGGGTTTGCAAATCCTGGGACCAGGCTGGAGTCGCACCATGTCTGGTAAACCACCACTGCCGGGAGCCCACCACCCCTTCCAGACGGTGGGGACTTTTGGGGTGGTCCCCAAATGCCTGCCATCACCCCGTGGCCACGGCCACTTGCAGAGCAGTCCCTGGGAGGGAGCTGGGGCCCGCTGCGGGTCCCTGCTCGCACCGACCCGTCCGGGTGTTGCAATTGCAGGGAGCCATTTCCCAGGTAAGCCCCAGCCTGGGAACGCCCTGGGAACGTCAGGGAGGGGCGGGAGCCTCTTTAAAAGCCTGGCTGGGCCCGGTGGTATGGGTGCAAGGTGAGGAGAGAGCGGGCGTCATCGGCTCCCGCTGCCCGTGCTGCCAAATCGGTGACAGACAAACACAGCAGGATCCCCGGACGGAGCCAGGTGAGGCTCTGAGCCGGTGCCGGGAAAGCCGGTGCCGGGACCTTTGGGGTGAATGTTCAACCAGGAACAGCCCTGGGAGATGACGCTGCAGGTTGGGTGGTGGAAATCCCCTGAGCCCTTCGGCAGCACTGCGCGTGTGGGGCCGGCATGGAGGGGACCCGCCGGATGCAGGGGGAGCACCGAGGGGAGCCGGGCTGGCGGGCGGGTGGTCCAGCACCGGGCTCGGCAGCGTCCACCGACTTGCCAGTGGGGTCTGGCCCCCGGAAAAGGGGCATTTTCCCCCTGCTTTGCCCGCGGCAATGCCGGGGCCGTGGGCAGGGAGCGCCGGGGCTGTGCCTGGCTGCGGGTCCTGGCTCTGGGCACTAGTGCTGGTGAGCGTGCGAGGAAGGAGAGGGAGAGGTGAAAGAAGAGGGGGGACCGTGGCGGCAGGAGCGGAGCAGCCAGCGAGCCCCATCCTGTCCATCCCGCCTACCCGGTGCCCAGCCCTGCTGCAGCTGTGCCGGCATCCCCATGTCCCACTGCGGTGACAATGTCCCCATGCCCCAGGCCGGCCCCGAGGGCATGTGGTGGGGCCGGGGCGCAGGCGACGGCGGGGCCATGCGGGCTGCGCTGTTGCGGATGGGCTGGTGCCGTGAGTCAGCGGCGAAGCAGCAGCCATGATGCCCCAAGGATGGGCTGGGCGCTAGTGGCGGGGGACTGGCGACACTGGCGTGGGGTCTGCATGGGGACCCCAGCCGGTGCAGGGGGCGGGTGTGCGGTGGGTGCTTTTGCCCAGGTGCTGCCGATCACCTTTTGTTGGCAATTAATGGCCCGGGACGAGGAAGGGCCGGAGCTAGATGTCTCCGGTGAGCGGCTCTCACGGGGCTGTGCTGGGCACTGCAGATCACAGCGGGACCCCCTGCCAGCGCTGGGACTGTTCGAGAACCACCCTGGTGCCCAGCATCCTGCAAGCTGTGGACGGTCCCCAGTCTCGGGATGGGGTGGCCCTGGGCCGCGGCACAGCGAAGACTCCCACGGAGACAAGGATGGCTTGGGAGGGCACCCAGCCAGGCCGAGGCACGCAGGGACGAGCGCAAGAGTGCAGGGAGCCCGGGGCTGAGCCTTATGTCTCTTGTCACCACCCTGATGTGCCAACGTCCACGGCCTGGGGCTGAATTGGGGAGGATCAGTGCAAAGAGAGAGGGGAAGTGAGCCAAGTTTGGGGCACCAGGCAGGTCCTGCCTGCTCCCAGGGAGCAGCCGGGCTGCAGACACCCTCCTGGATGATGCCCCCAGAGTGGGGGACAGTGCTGGGCCACCCTTCTGGGCTTCACGCATGCTGCCCCTTTGGCTTCCTCCAAGACCCATGCGGCCACCGCTGCCGTGACGGTCGGCATTGCACCCCGCGCTGGTGTAAATCAGCATGGCTCCAGCGAAACAACAGGGAGCAACACGCCCCAGCTCGCCCCGCGCCCTGCCACCGACAGGGCAGGAAAGAGCCAAGGCCAGACAAGGTGACGCAGTTTCCGTCCCTGCCCGCCTGCATCCTGCCCAGGATGCGGACGCTGGACCCCGTGACAGGGACCATCTTGTTGGGTCCATCCATAGGAAGGAGCTTCCTGGCTTGCGGCAGCCTTGGGACCGTGGAGAGAGGAGGGGGACCCTGGATATCAAGCAGGCAGGCAGGATTGGACCTCGGGGTTTGGGGGACGCCCTTGGCTGGGCTCATGGGGGGCTCAGGCAGGTTCCGACCTGCCCTGCCGGGGTGTTCCCAGAGCCGTGAAGCAAGAGGAGGGCTGGCTGGTAATTCCTGCCCTTATCCCGCCGCCACCGCCGCCGCCGTGCGGCCCCCAGCCCCAAATGTTGACCAGGAAAAGAAAGAGGGGGGCGGGCTGTTAATCCCTGCCCTTATCCCGCCGCCACCGCCGCCGCGCCGCCCGGTGCGGCTCCCAGCCCCAGTCCTCCCTAATGAGTCCTGGGAACCGGCAGCTGCGGCCCTCTCGCTGCGGAGCCCCACGGCCCCAGCGCCATAATTGCTGCCCCGTCCCACGCGCGGGGGCGGCTGCCCTGGGGGGGCAGGTGGGGCGGCTGGCGTGGGGCGGGTGCTACGCTGGAGCCGGGGCAGGTAGCATGGAGGATTTTTGGGGTGATCCTGTATGAGCAGCGATGTGGGGAGACGAGCACCCCACACATCAGCACTGCCAGCTTTTTGCCTTTCCGTGGAGGCTGCTTTTTGCCCGCCCGGGGGCTTGTGGTGACCCCAGGGCTGGCAGCAGCGGAGACCCTCATGCATGCCCTGAGTGATGGCACCATGAGCTTTGGCGGCACGCTGCCTGCCCTTCCACCCCCTGTCTTCCAGCATGGGCACGTGGAGGGTCCCACGGCCCCCGCCCCTGACCCCCCGTCCCCACAGGTGACTGCAGGCAGCGATGGCAGAATGCACGGAGCTGGAATGGGCCGTCCAGGTGCTGGTGAACAACTTTGACAAGTACTCGAGCCGCCGCTGCTGCTGCAAGAAGCCGCGGCGCATCAGCAAGAAGGATTTCCGCAAGATGCTGAGCTGTGAGCTCAACCACATGCTGACGGTGAGGCCGGGGCGCGTGGGGCCAGGGGACTGGCTCCTCCTGCTTGCATGGGGTCCCCCCCTCCCTGCACCCCACTTTCCCCGCCGCCCCAGTGTGAGTGGCTCCGCTCTCTCCCCCCAGGACACTGGGAACCGGCGAGCGGCTGACAAGCTCATCTGTGACCTGGACGAGAACAAAGACGGCCGCATCAGCTTCGAGGAGTACTGGACCTTGATAGGTGGCATCGCCAGCCCCATCGCCCAAATCATCCGCCAGCAGGAGCAGAGCGTCAAGCACACCAAGTAGCCGGCTGCGTCCGGACCATCCCCGGGCTCAGCCCCACCCCGGGCTCAGCCCCTGCTTCTCCACGGCTCCCCGCTTCTCGCCTCTCCCGCTGCTGAGCCCCACCCCAAGCCCCAGCTTGCCCCGGGGCACCCTGGTCTCCCACGGCTTTGCCGACTGAGCCATGCCAGGGTGCAATTGGGGCGGGAAGACCCTGTGGGTGGGAGAAGGGGGTGCGAGGCCATCACAGCCTCAGGGGTCTTCTCCTTGCCCCACACCATGCCATCCCTGCCCTCATCCTCTTCTGCAAGCCCTGTCCTTGCTGGGCTGCTGGGCAAGAAGCAAAGGGAGAGGATTCCCCTCATCTAGGACGTGAATTCTGTCTGTTCTCCGACCTCTGGGACATGGCCCTGCTGGCAGAAACCCCGTCACAACTGGGACCCCCTCTCCCCTTGGAGTTCCCCCTCAAAGTCGGGGGTCTTCTTGGAAAAAGGGTGCCTTTCCCCCTGCTCAAGCTGGTGAAGGGTCTGCCCTGCCTGTGCTGCCTGGTGCTCTGGTCCTTTGGGCTCGGGGAGCGGCGTGGTCCCGTCCGGGCAACACCACCGTGGTTATTTATTGCAGCAATAAAGTTTGGAGGAGCAGTGGGTGACGCTGAGGCTCTGCCTTCCTGGGGGCTGCCCCGCAACATGCATGCACCGAGGGGATGCGGGGGGCTGAGGGAGGGGGGGTCTGCCCTGTCCCCCATCACCCACGCAGTCATTGTGTGCCCTGGACTGGCAATAACGCCGGTCCCAGCCTTCCGGCCTCGCAGGGATGGGCTCCCTGGGGCTGATCGAGCCACCACGAGGTGTCAGCAGACACCGTGGCCTCCCGGCACCCCACCGGCCCCGCAGCACCCCGAGCTGCTGCCTGGGGCACAGGGTGCGGATGCTGCTGCTGCGTGTCCCAGGGGACCCTCTCCACATCCTCATGCGGGGTCCCGAGCAGCCTGGGACTACAGCCCCGCATCCGTGCACCGCAAGGGCATGGCCGTCCCAACCCTGGGGCGTCTTGGGGGACCCCAATTCCTGTGCTGCATCTCGGCACGCTGCACACCCCCCACCTGGGATGGGGATAGGGAAAAGCTCTGTGGCCCCGTGTGTGCCGGGACACCCCGGGCCGGCAGTGCTCGTCGGGGAGTGTGCTGCAGCCTGGCTCGTGGCGCCCTGTGACGCCCACGGGGCTGGCGGGCAGCCCAAGCTGGCAGCCCCGGCGCCTGCTGGGGATTTTCCACTGGGAGGGGACTTGGCCCCGGGCCTGCGAGCATGGCAGTGGCCCCCGTGCCCCCCACTCCCACGGCGGGGGGATGTCAGCACCTTGGAGCCGAGACCCACATCCCCGTCCAGCCAGCCCCCCCTTGCTGACCCG